AGATCCAGTTGCAATGGATCGACCTTCCCGGTTCCAAAGGTTTGTAAAAACGCACGCACACACGCACATCCACCGTGGATCTTACATCCTACATCCTAGATCCTGTTTTGTTTTGTACCATCTTCCTTTTTTCTCTTTACAAATTTTTGGTTCTGCCCACTCTAATTCCATTTCTTCCCTTTTTTCTTTCTCTGACCCATTATTACATTAATTACACCGCGCGGCCCCGGCTAATTTATATTAATTAATAATAAGGGGATGGCGATGGAAGTGGAAGTGGGTTTTGATTGTTAATTATATAATTAATTTGTATATATAGCTGCGTTGGTCACGTGCATGTCAGCACTGACGTCGTCGGAGGTGAGTGACGACAGTTGTATTGAAACGACAACGATGAGGAGGAGGAGGACGTCGAGTAATAAGGATGTGGATAATCCATACGACAGGGCCGCAAGTGCAAAACCGAAACCAAAGAGGGCGCTTTGGACGTCCGTGTGGCGGCTCCCTGGCATGGTTCAGTATTTAAATCGCTTCAAGTCTACAATTCTTCTCCATCATTGTTTGTATAAGAGATGAAGAAGAAACGAGAGAGCTGTATTATCATTATTGGCAGCCCTGCAGGTGCGTGCGTTTTGGGTTAGGGTCACATATTCACATTATCTGATCTCGACGTGCGTGTTGTTTGTGTGCAAAAACTTAACCAAATGCAAGCTACGGCTATCTCACACCAACGACTCATGCTTTCAAATATATATATATATATATATATATATATATATATGAGTTGCGTGTGTCTCCAATAAAGCTGGTTACCATACCATGTGTAGGATAGATAGAGAGGGAGAGAGAGATTTAATTTAATTATTTAGGGTTGTTGTGTAGGCAACCATTTTTACCACACACGTGTTGGTGTTGTATCAAACTTGAGGGGTAAATATAATTAATATGCCTTATGATCTACTCGTCACCGCACCCCCACAACGCAAAACTTAGGTTAAGGTTGTACGCGACCGCGCCCGCGCCCGCCTCGATATAGCTTAAAATTGGAAACTGGGCTTGGGTTACCCACCCATTACAATATATATGGGCTCCAACGAGTATATATGTGTTTAATTTGCTTGTGACCCAGTGTGTATTATTATTATTATTATTATTATTTTTTGTTTTAAACAATTCCCAGCCACGACAATTTATATGTGTATGTTAATTCTAAGGTCACATGCATATATATACATTGAACCCTTTTATGTTATAGTTGTATTTCATTAGTATATGCATTTATCTCCATGCGGGCTGTGGTTACAAATATAATAAGATCATGTATTTAAAATAATAGAAAAAATACACACGCATATATATATATATATATATATATATATATATAAAAGATACTGGGTTTAAGATTTAAATGTCGTCTAGAGTAGTCAAGAGCGTTCCTTTAGTTTATTGTTGACTTAGTACATGTTACTTTACTCATTCTCGACAATGCAGGTCGTCCCTTCATGCATTGACTATGCTATAATTAAATGATGTATAACTATACGTAAGTATTTGACTAATTACGTCTCCTAACATTTTAGGGCGTACTAATTAATACTTTTAACGAAGGGTATTAGATAATGCTTATTCATAAGTATATGTAATTAACATTAAAGAAATGTAAATATAATTTTTGTAAAAAATAAAAAATGCAAATATAGAGTGTTATGCGGAAATTAGTACCGTATAAGAAAAATCTAAATACATATTTTAGTCCGTAATGTTAATTTTAATATTATTCAATTTAATCATCTCCATTGTTGTGCATGTTAAAATTATCCAATAATAAACTTATACTACATAATATCAAGTGAATGGACAAGAATTTAGAGATAAGAAAAATGATAAGAGAGGACAATTTCTAATCTATCTTTTATTTTTATAAAAAAATTAATGGTAGAAATTAAATTTTAAGTTTCATTATTTTAAGGATATTTTATCCCTACATGTTATAAAGAAATGGTTAAAATTTTAAGTTTTATCATACGGACTAGACACACTACAATGTATCACTTTCGGAGATCATTTCCTGTTAAGGATTTTTTTCTCCCATATATTTTTGTCGATTCACTGAATAGTTATGCAAATTTATTATTAGTCAACTATGGGACTAAATTAGAAAATGTTTGAATATAAACTATAAAATTAAATATTTTTTAAACAAAGTAAATTTAAAAAAACACACAAACGAACCACTAAAAAGTAAAAACATATATATTTAGAAGAAAAGAAAAAAAAAAAAAAGAACTACTACCGCTTGGCGCTTAGGGTTACATTTCCTAAACAAATAGGCGGGAAAATACAGCGGGAAAATAGTTAAGAGAGAGAGAAATCACAGTCGAAGATAAAACCCTAAACCGGTCACAGGGTTTAGGAAATCCCACGGTCGACACAGGGGACTGAGGAAATGGAGAGCAGAGACGATTATAAATTCATGGAGATTAGGGATGCCATTGCCTCCATAAACCAGAAGGTGAACCTTATCGCCGTTATCATCGAGTTCGGCTTCCCCAGGCGAACTAAGGGCACTGGTACTGATCCTCCTCTTTCTCCGCCATTGCAGCTCGCTTAACTGCATACATATGGATTTTGTGTTCTCTGCGTGTCTCACTCCCATGAAATTGTAATCGATTGGACTCCAAACTCTGAAACATGTCGTTTTTTTAGTTATACTCAAGCATCTAGTATTTTGATGTCATCTATCTATCTCCATCCTCTCACGTATAATAATTGACTGGCAATGATGAAAAAAAGGCCGGACTTACGGCTGCTTCCGTTTGGTCGGTAGTAGAATGACGATATGTCTGCAGTAAGGTGTTTTTGCTGAGCCAGTTCTTATAATAGTATAACACTACACAGTTCGAGCGCTACATTCTTTCTATTGAGATGTAAGATCATCGAGTATTCATAGTTTTCTCCCAATTTTTTTCCGAATAGCTGATGGTTTGTAGTGGAAGTAGTAGTGTTCTTACATTCCTTCGTAGTAGTCTCAAGTGAGTGCGTTCTTGAAGGCTTCTTTTACTTAGTCTGATTTTATCTAACACAAAAACTCCTCTCTAAGTTTTTTCTTCCTGCTTCCCACCCCCCTCATCTTTTGCTTTTTGTCTCTCTCTGTTGATTGGAAGATATGGACTGAGTGATACGTTAAACTGTTCCAGCTGGTATTTTTCATATGTACCAGGATATGGACATATTTGATCTATATTTTCTCTGTCCAGTAGATAATCAAGGGTTTTTTTGTTTGATGGTTTCTAATGGAAGGGCACACTATTGGTTGTTCGCTACATGCAAAGGATCCCATTAGTTACCATAGATGCAGCGATATGATTACCATGACGAGTCTCTATCAGATAGTAAATTTTGATTTGATTGATCCATTCCTGGGAGTGGGAGCTCACGAGATATGTCAAGATTCAATTATCCACATTTTGTGTGATGACCTGGTCTAAACACTGGATCTTTCTTCTACTTGAAAGTCCAACCAATCAATTCATGGAACTTCATGTCACTTGGTCAATTAAATTTATTTATGATTCTTGGGTCATATAAATTACTCTTTTCACCATTCCCCCTATCTCTGCCTAGTAATTTTGTTAGTTTTGAGCTACAATTTGTTTCAGTAAGGTTCTGCCTACTTTGAGAGCACTTATAATTCTTTGGCAGATTACTTTTGTGCTGTAAAAATTGTCGATCAATCTCAGCCAAAACCTGGAATTACTGCAAATATTTTTGCTGAAAGTTTGGAAAAGCTTCCCCATGTTGCTTCAGCAGGAGACATCATTCAACTCTCTCGTGTTGTGGTATTCAAAAATTCTAAATCTTATGAAAATTTTATTTCAATGTTCTTTTTCCTCATATATTTTGTTTATCTTTTCTTCTTTAGTATCTTGTTTTATTAGATCCTTTTGTTTAAGTGTCAAAATTTTCACTCACATTTTATTTTATTCAATCTGAGAGGGAGTAAAAATTGGTACTAACAATTTGGTGAATTTGCAATGAAGGAAAAAACAAATGGAAAACTGAAGTGAATGGATGATGGTACTGCTTATTTCACACCAAACAATATAAGATTATTGACTATTTTGTAGGACCTGATTTTTGGAATGAATATTTTTGTTGTTGTGAAGTATACATTTTTCTAGTCCTTATGTTGGGCTTCAATCTTGTATTCTCCTTTGTCATTTTATTCCTGACAATTATAATCGTTTCTACTGCTCAAGAAAAAAATGAATGAATGGTATAGACTTGACTAGTTTGTCTGGTTGGTGAAGCCATTAATTTATAAGTAATTTTCTTTTCCACCTGTCTATCCCTATTGTCCGAAATCTTGGCTCCCGTATTTTCTGAGCTTCATGTGGCATCATCATGACAAAACATGTTTGGTTTGCTCTTCTTAATTTGATTTTCACTTATGTAGCACTTACATATGTTTTTAAAAATTTCTTGATATCAAGTCTCTTGTAGTATTCACTGGATGTGATGGGGTATTGGATGAATATTTGAACCTACTTATCTACTTGAGCAGTTGAGCTTTTTTCATAGACAATGTTTTAGCTTTGTTTCCATTCTTAAAGGATATAAATGATAGGTGGTCAACGCCCTATCTCAGAAATCAAATGATAATTGCAGATGAAAACTCATCAAGGGGAAATATATGTTGTCTTCAACAAGAAGTTTTCTTCATTTGCTTTATATGAAGGACAATATGGAACGAGCTTTCAACCATATGATGTTTCACCAAAATTTCAACCGAGAGATCTCGATAAGAAGTTTATTTTGAGTCTGAGAGATTGGCTTGTTGGTTTTGAACTTGATGAAGGTCTGTCAATTAAGTATTGAATTTATAAACGACCAGTGTAGTTCATTTGCATGATTAATTACAAACTATGAACTTTTGGCCTGTCATACAACGTCAAATTTTTACTTTTGTTTCCTGGGGCAAAGCATACCTTGTTTGATAGGCTCCCTTGGCAATAGTTTCACTTCTGATGTTTTGCCTTGATGAGTGGGAGAGGTAGCTGAACATGTACACAGTGCAGGAGATTTTGATCCTATTAAATGGAAAATAAACATGGAGGAAAATATAGCCGTTTCAATTGCTCTCTACATGGTGACTAATGTCTTAAGGTTTACCTTTCTATATTCCCAAGGAGTTGTTTTAAGTGCTTTCTTAGCTAAAATACGAAGAATATTAACTTAGGAAATATCAAAATTTGGTCTAATTTTTAAAAGAAGTCTTCAGCAATCAAATTTGGGTCAATTAACAATGTGCCTCTGTTTATAGACTAACAAATGCATGGATGTATATGTGTGTGTATATGTATATTGCCTGCATATGTGACCCTCGAATATCTAGCAGGATTATATGCCTTGACTTAAAATACGTTTGATTATCACTGAGTTTTGTAGGATCAACGAACTTTTCATTTGTGAGGGATATAAAGGAAAGCAAGCATGTTAATTTGATCTGCAAGGTGAGGATCTATTCTGAAAAATATTTATAAAGAAAATCAGTTACCTTATCCCTTCTTTTGGGTAAGAAGTAATTTCATTGATGAGATGATTTACCTTAATAAATCAGAGGCAAAAAACTAATGAATGTTAAAGTTTCAGAATGGTATGCCATGCATCCTATTCTATCCCAGTTGGTCTAACTCTCTCTGTGACACATAGATTGTCTACATATGTAAGGATGCTCAGGATGGGGCTCTTGCTTTTGTCTGGGATGGAACTGATGCTCAACCAATTAGCATTGATACAAAGTGAGTTCAAGAAAGTGAAATTATTTAGTGTTAAAAGCATCACATGTACAGTTGGATATTCAAATATTTATGATTGGTGTAGTTCATTTCCTGTGATGATGAATTGGTGGTTTTAAGTTACAGGTGTGTTAGCGATTGCATATCAAGAGTAAAGTGGTACAAGGGCTTGCTACCTCTATGATTGGTGTAGTTCATTTCCTGCCAGATCTTAAAATTGAAGATTGTTGAAAACTTTTAGGATGAGTTTCGTGCTAACTTCCACTTAGGGTTTAGAAGAGACCCTAATGAGTTGAAAGTTATAGGGTTTTGAAGAAACCTTAATGAGTTGAAAGTTGAATTATTAGTTCCACCTCATCTCTTTAATTAAAGAGCACAAACCTAATACTGTAGGGTAAGTCTTAGAGTATCGTCATCTCTGGCTCTTTAACTGTCTCTTTGCTTCATCATGTTATGGGTGTTTCTGAGCCACTTCCTAAAAGTTAATGCTAATTTTATTTGGAGATGCAACATCCCCAAAAAAAGTCAGGTTTCTATTTTGGACATTCTATCACATAATTAATACGTTGGCTAAATTTAAACTTACCTTCTTCCGTCTTGATGAAGAAAGAGGAAGTGGTAGATCACAATTTTTGTTGCTCATTCCTCTGCGTTTCTCTACCATGTTTCTTTGAGACAACTTTCTTCATGTTTCTATTATCAATTAGAGTACAAAAAGTTAGCCTTAAAAAGGTAGCCTGACTAGTAAGGGCATGAAGTCTCTTGGTCAGAGGTCTCAAGTTCGAATCTTTTGGTTAGCTTAATACAAAAAATTCTTGATGTTTCTCGAGTCCAGGCCTTGGGGTGGACATGGGTGCCCTTGGGTATAGGGGAGTAAATCTTCGACTCCCAATAAAAACAAAACTAGAGTACCAACACTATGCCACATAGGAGAACAAGCAATTATTTATTAAAAAACTTGATAAAGGTTCATCTTACTTATTAAGACAAATAATCTGATCTTTCAACCTTGAACTCGACCATTGCTTGTTCCACCAATTCCTTAGACAAAGAATATTTGATAAAAGGTCTATCTTATTTATGATGGTCAACGATACTCTTGAATGATATTTCATCCTTGATTTCATGGTCAATAAAAGATTTATACTTTTTTTTTTTCCTTTTCTCTTTCTCGTGGGAGGGAGAATCTTTTTGTGACTTATGTAAATGCCATTAGTTGAAACTTCTTAAATGCACCATCAGGCATTAAGTTGATGAACTTTAATTATTATTTTTTTAATAGAAACTGGGAGATTCAAATGCTAAATATCTATTATCATACCTTTTATTGAGGTTGTATTAAGGTGGGCTTGGTTAATAATTAGCCATGAACCAGGTTGGCAAATGAAATTGACAATGCGCATCAATTGGGACCAATGTTGCCAAGAGATAAGTTATGCACGTTACCTTCAGTTGGCTCTATCTTGAGGTTAATTTTTGACAAAGGGACTGAGAAGCAGAGTCTATGCGTGCTTGAGTCTGGTAAATGGGTGAAATTTATTAATGTCCTATGTGAAATGCAAGTTGGATTCTTCCAAATTGTGGTGACAGCATTTTCGAAGCTTCGATATATGCCAGAGGAGGATCATGCTATACAGGCACGCCAAAGGTTAACTTTCCATGATTTCATCTTTAGATAAAATGCACGTTAGACACATACTTGACTTTTTTATCTAAAGGTTTTGATGCATTATGACATTTAATTATTAGATCATACGAGGAACGTTTAGCATCAAAGTTGGGTAGAATTTCTTTTTGGAGCTTTCCTTGGCCTTCACCCATTACAGGTTTGAACTTTCTATATTTTCATGAAACTGCATTTTAATGCGTTGTTTGCGTTGATTGTGAGTTAATTATTTATGATGCTCATAATTTCACTTAGAATTTCTTCTAGTTGCAATATGCTGATTTTCTTGTTCACTCTACAGAGGTGGACTACAATGATGAGCCGTTTGTCACATTGATGGATGTTTTAACATATCCAAAGGTATTGCATCTCTCTGTTGGGTTGTTGGTTGTGTGGAAAATTTTATTTTCTTAATGGTTTATATACTTTCTGAAATTTGTAGGATGTTCCGTTAGCTATTTGAACAGAAAGTATTTATATCTAGTGTCCCTGTCCTTGCATTTTCGATATAAGTAAGTAGTGCTTGGCAAAATTTTCATGTGCTTCCTTGTTTTGATTAAGGGTGATGTACTTTAATGGATGTCGTAAATTGTTTACGTATAAAGTACCGGCACCATTTTTGGTTTACTGTTGGTGTTGTGCACCGACACAGCTCTTGACATGTGTCTGGCATGCTAATTTGAGTGACCAATTGTTTTTTATTTTTATTTTTATTTTTATTTTATTTTCTGACATGTGAAGAAATGTCCATGACATGTGGGAACACGTGGACACGGTTGTAAGGTAAAGAACAGAAAATTATTATATTAATGAAGTCCAATAAGCCCACTTAGAAAATATAACTAAATCCTAAAGAAATAGGGGGGGCCTCACTGCATCAGCTATCCACGATTTTGTCTACTTCTCATCAAATTGTTTCCTCCATTTTTTCTTCAACATTGTCTTCCTCAAGGCCGTCACCCTGGTCTGAGAGAGGGAATCTCATGCTCGCACACTTCCCTCTTGTCTATGTGAGGAGAGAGATAGCACCAGATCTTACTTTCCCACCTCTTTGACTAAGAAAATAATGATTTGGATCTTGTTGCCCCAAAGAAGAGAGGCATAACCGAATGCACCATGGAGCTTCTTTTCTATATATATGTATGTCTTTCATGTAACTAAATCTACATTTTAAAGTATAACAGTTACACTATGTCAAGTTTTACATTATACACATATTTTGAAAAACTAACGTGTCCCTAACATGTCATATTCTACCTTTTAAGAAATTGATGTGTTGTGTTGGTACCGTGTCTATGTTGCATGTCCATGCTTTTAGTTGTTTACAAAATGACTGTTCTTTTTTTTTTTTTGCACTATCTCATCCGAAGGTTCAAATATTCCGATGATCTATGTTCCTAGGCAGTATGATTGGAAGATGGCCGCTTCTGTAACTTGATTATGGATGTATTTGAGAGGAGACTTGTTCTATTTTCAAATATTTTAAAATCCTTATTTGCCTTTCTCAAAATGATTTCTGTTATGCATTTGATGCCTGCAGTAGAGTCACCCGTGCTGGGTGCTTTGTGCTATGCTTATTGTAGTACCCCTTGCAAACTGCTTGACTTTATTCCTTGATCATTAAGTTCACACTCGACAGGTGACTGCAAAATTTAAATGTGTAGTTCGAGTTGTGGCTGTATATCCATTACAGGCCAAGGACTTCTGCTCTCCTGAAGGGACCTACCGGGTTAGGCTGAGCCTAGAAGATTCAACTGCAAGAATTCATGCCTTATTGTATGCGGAAGATGGAGTAAGAGTCTTTTTACCATTTACGCCACCTCAATTCTGGGATTGGTTACTTTCCATTCACACAGAACTTAGAGGAAAGTAAATTGATGTTCTGGTTTCTTATTAATGATATTTACTTGAGATTTATTAGTTTCCGTTCACAGAGAACTTAAAAGAAGTTGTGGATGATCTGATTCCTCACTAATGATATTACTGACAAACAGAGGAATGTCACTTAATCTATAGAAGATTAGGTGTGCTCGCAAGTAGCACCTAACTTCTATATGGAGAAACACAGGAAAAGAATTCTCTGATTGTATGAAATTTACTATAGTCAAGTCCAGACAACCAGACAACCAATTAGAGTTAAATGCAGATTAGTATAATAGCAAACATTAGTAAACCATAACTATTAAGCTTCCTCAAATCCTAGTTCGTAATGCATTTCACTTTCAAGATGTGTCGTTTGTAAGACTGCTTGATCTACTATATCAATTAGAACTTGTGCGCTCTACTGATAATATGATGTTACTAATTTGGAGTTCATGAGTTGTTAGAAATTAACCCATGTCCTTGTGAAAAATTGTACTAACCTTTTTCTTGTATTTCATTAGCAGGCCTTTATTTTGGCCGAAGGATCAAGGAAATAATATTTGTGACATAATGCACTTTATAAACCTTTTCCTTGATTTTGCTTGCAATACTACAAATGTGCATTTCTTTCCCTCAGTTCATGACAACAATTCCTAAATATTGGCTGTAGTTGTACATATTGACACTCTTTTGATTGTTTTGTTCACATGTTGTCATAATCCGCTGAAGTGCAAATTCTTTGATGGCCATCCATCGGTCGACGCTCTAACAAGGAAGCGAAACAAATTACTTGGAGTTTCAGCAAGCGGGGAAAATGAGGCCAGCATAAGAAATCCTCCTTGGGTGCAGTGCTGCTTGAAATCTTATTACCTCAATAAACAAGATTTGTGGGGAAGTAGACGGTACAGACTGTTTGGCACTCGGCTAGTGGTAGTAGATTAATAGAATAGGTGGAACAGTGGCCTAACTGATCAAACTTTGGGAAAAACAACTTGCTTTTGTGGCATTTCAGATATTTATTAGAATTAGCAGCAGACAAAGTGGAAGAATGCCAAGTGGTCAAACTGTGGGAAAATAAGCTTGTTTTTTGGCATTTCAGATATTTATATTTCATAGCTGTAAATATTTTTCTGTTTCCGAAAAGAAAAAGGTTGTAAATTTTGCATGGCGTCGAATATTTGCACCCAGTTGACACTTGCAGAATTGGATCACAGTTGGATATCATTACACGATGAAAATTAAGTTTCGCGCCAATTAATCGAGATTGCCTGCTAGTTATGAGTAAGTCCTTTAAGATTCCTATTCAAATAAATTTGATTAGTTTCAGCATAACACAAAGTGCTACCTCGTACAAATCTACAATGGAACTGTCACGTAACAAATAAATCACTAAGAAAAAAAATCCTCGTTTTCTATGATCAAGGTTTTGAAATTCCTCCTGTAATCTGGGTTGTGAAAAATCCCTAGAACGCAAAAGCTCTTTCCACGCAGTTGAGTTATAGTTCCTGTACAGGTTCTCATACCTCTCATTAAGGAGGGAAAAGGAAGAAAATGAGCATTGATGAATTCAATCAAAAGTACAGGATGTGGGCATGGGCATGGGCGTCGGTTAATTTTGTGCAGCGATGTGGGCATTGGGATGGGGTGGCGCAGCCTCAGCAGCAACACGAACAGCTGCATGCCTCCGTTGCCGCTCTCTAAGATATAGCACAGTAAGGAGGCACACAAACAGGGTCAGAATTGTTGCATTTCCTTCCTCCAAGAGTACGTTCTCCACCCATGCGTCGATTTTAGGATAGACTTCTGGCAACGAATCAATCACATGGACCTATTCACAACATCATAACACCCTCATTTGATTTTTAAATCATCCAATAAAGCAGAGCAGGAAGAAATATCTCAAAATCTACTGGTGCCTAGAAGCTAAGGTACTCTTGCAAGACAAAAGCATTAAGAAGAGAAGTTCATTAAACCCACCATAAAACTGTCGGCACGATTCTTTCTTAACCACAGGCTTGCTAGGGCCAGCTTGACTGGTAATTTTGCAGCTGGGTCGAGTTCCAGAGCTTGATCGTAGTAACGCTTGGCTAGGTGGAGATCAAACGGAAGGCCTAGGCCATGTTCGTGCATGTAACCAAGGTTGAACATGGCTTGTGCATTTAGTTGGGATTTGGCATGCATGTATGCTTCTGCAGCACGATCATAATCTACCTCAGTTCCCTGAGTAGAAGTGAAATGTATAAAAATGAAAACCTCAAACATATGATTTAGATAAAATTTAACAAATATGTTGTTCACGCACTCCCATAACATACCCGACCATAGTAATATGCATCCCCAATCAGCAAAGCGGCATGTTCGTTGCCCTGCTCAGATGCTTGCCACCATAGAGAATGAGCTCTCTGATGTCTTTCTGCATCTGTGCAAAAGCCAGATTCCCCCATACACATGCTTTGTTCTCCATATTTGTCAAGTATCCATGCTGCATTGCTTTGTGCCACCTCATATCCTAGCTCAGCCATTCTTGCATACAAGAAGAATGCCTTGCCAATATCACTTTTCAGATATGATTCCAATGCCCATCTAGACAATGAACTCCAAGGCCCCCGTTCAGCAACTAATTTGTATAATGCACTAGCCTGCAACCACGAGATTTCAATTATATGCAGTATGCGTGGCCTATATCATCCCTGGTAATAAGTCCAGAGAATTTTAGAATGTTTCCTCCAGAAAGACCAATATAAACCAGGTAAAATAAGGAAATATAGAAGCAAGACATTTTGTAAAGCTTTCAAGTTCAACGTGTATGAATCAGTTGAGAAACTTTCCAAGAATTAGTAGAAATCGACAATAATGCATATTAAAAAAAAAAAAATCATGCCACGAGGGTAAAAACACTAAAGTGTCAAGTTACAGCTTTCACACTCCAATGGAGGCTGGTTTCAAAAGCCTTATAACAACCCAACATTTTAAACATTCAAGGGTTAAATCAAAGCCCAAAACCAATCTGCTGATTATAGAAAGAACGGGATAGACTTTGAAACGTAGTTGAGTGAACTTACCATAGCAATATTCCTCTTAAGCCCAACACCAGTATGAAACATCTTTGCCAGCTGGTAGAATGCCTTTGGTTGTCCAGCATTAGCAGCCACTATAAAATGATTACATGCCTTCTTCACATCTCGCTTTACTCCAATTCCTTTAAGATACATAACTCCAAGATTATAGTGACCACCAGACTCCTCGTTATTGGCAGCTTTCTCAAAGTACTCCTTGGCCTATATTAAAGGATGTAGCATTTGGGGGACATGCAATGAAGATGTGTTATAAGCGATGTGGGCAGAGTGAATTGGAGGGGAAAAAAAAGAGAAGTAAAATTCAGGTGCCACATTTACATGTGTTAAGTTAAGAAATCAGCATTTAGCATATGAAATACAAAGAAAAGGATAGCCATTCAAAAGATGCATTGATATCCAAATAATAGAAGAAAAAAAACATGAAAATGAGCCACCAGATTTCTGTGGGCACAAGTGAACTAAAAAAAACAATATGAAATACTTCAAAAATTGATCATCTTTCCAGTACGAATTTAATACACAATTAAAAATTTAAATCAAATCATCTCTAATTCACTTATTTATGCAGGAAAAATTGTATTGCCAGAAGTTCGGTGGGTTAAGTAAATGGTATCTATCTGTCCTCTGAAAAATGGGGGGAGGAAAAAAAAAACAGACAGCTCCGTCACAGAATTGCAGCTACATAAGGAGACAGAAAATCGAAGTTTAAATAGTAATTGCCACAGAGTATTATGGTAATCTTACCTTGGTAAAGTTTTTCTCCACTCCATAACCCTTGACGTACAAATATCCCATACCATTGTAAGCAGAAAATGATGGCTGCTTGGATGCAAGAGTTAGCCATTGAAGCGCCTTGGTATAATTCCTCTCGACTCCAGCACCCCTTGCGTATATCTCTCCAAGCAGTTCCATAGACCTTGGTTCACCTTTCTCCACGGCCTTTGAAAACCACGACAATGCTTTGGCATGATCACGCCTCAACCCTCTCAATCCGAAGTAGTAAAATAGCCCAATTCTATACATAGCCCCAGCATTTCCTTTCTGCGCTTGATATTCCAAAATTTGGAAGTCCTCGTCCTCCTCTCCTCGAGACTTCCTTAAGGCATCCTTGTTTTCCTCGGCTCCATTATGGATTCTCACAGGTTCAATAACTGGAGAATCCTTTGAAACTAATAAACTATTAATGGCTACCTCTGCTAATTCAGCATAAAGCTTGACTGCTTTCTCATACATCTGCAACCAAGCAAGGTTTGCCCCATTGGAAAAAACGATAAACAAAAGGAATTGGATGCATTAACATATTTAGAATAACTTTTCATTAGAAACTTTTTTTTTTAATTATTTTTATTTTTTTCTGAATGTTGATTCAAACCCAATATATCCATATAGGCCTAGAGACAAAACAAAAATTCGTCGAGTAATTAGACGGAATTCAATAATTGAAGTTCTCGCACTTACTTCTTGCCTGAAGTAAATATACGCAATTGCCATCTTAGATTGCTTGTTCCCTTCAGCGGCGAAATAGTGATACATAAAGGCCTTAGCTTTATTCGTCTCCTTCATTATCCCCATCCCATACAATAACCCTAGCACCGATTGGGCGTGCGGATCCCCAGTCTCCGTAGCAAGTTGATCAACCTCTGCCACCGCATCCTCCATCGATCTGAGGTCCCCCAAGGTGGCCGCCGACATCATTTTCGCTAACGCAGAATAGTAGAGATCATCGGGGGCGTCGGGGCCGGAGGCGGGGGAATCCGGTTCGAAAATGGGGCGCCAAGAACCGGGGTCGAGCTCCTCATCGGACTTGTGAGATTCGGGTTCACCAAACTCGTCCCACTCGGCGGCGTCGGAGTTGGCAGAATCCGACGAGTCGTCGGCTGGCGGAGCATCCTTGAGGTCATCTTGGGAGATGACGATGAGGAAAGGACGAGCGTTTATGAATAGAGAGTATAAACATAGGAACAGGAAAATTAACTGAAGCCTACGAGTTCGTAGTTGCATTCTATTCTCTCTTTGGTTCCGCAGAGAACTCGAAGAAGAAGAAGAAGAAGAAGCTGGAGAATTCGCGAGACAGAACCACCATTTGATGCAAACAAAAACGACGACGTCCAACGCTTGCACGTCATATACCATCATTGAGCCAATCATAATTCGCCACGTAACCATCATTGATCTTGGATATTGATGGAGTACAAGAGGTGCAATAGAAACCATGTACTGCAAAAATTGTTCATTAAAAGCATTTTATACACTATTTAAAATGCTAAATTAATAAAAAAACCACATCAATTTTTCCATTTATTTAAAATATATATATATCATCGCTTTAATACTATGTTTGACCTTTTAACGTGAAGTTTGACTGAAAACACTAAACTAACAATAAATTTATTTGACATTTAAGGTGCTCAATCGTGTATTTATAATTTACGAACTCTAGATAATTAGCAACATATCTTGGTCGCTAAGTTAAATTTACGCATCAAATCGAACATAGCTCAAGTGGTTAATGCACCTATTTCGGACAAAAGATTATGAGTTTGAATCCCCACCCCACATGTACAATTGAATCTAAAGAAATCAATATTCAATATCAAACTGCTAAACTCACAAATTTAACCAAAATAAATTGAAATATTAGGTCCAAAGTTTAGAGAAAAATTTATTTATTTTCACCTATACAAAAACAAAGATATTGTTTTTATAATTTATACGTCATGAATTTAAGATTTTTTTTTTAAATTTTGTTTGAAAGAATGAATTTAAGATTAAATGGAGGGATCATCTCACAAATTCATTATATTTTTAAATGGAGGGGCCGTTGGCAAATTCGTTATATTCATAAGTGGAGGGGTCATCTTGCAAATTATTTATATATATATGTATATTTTTTTTTCTTCTGTCATCGTTTTGGTTTCGTCTCGACCGTCTTGGTTTTGCAGTCGAAATGCCAGTAGAGCTCAGGCTTTCTCGGACCAATCGTATCTACCGGCCTTCTGTAAGTCTTCTCTTTCCACTTTCCAGTTTCCACTCTCTAATCTCATTACTGCTCCTCAAAATCCGTTACTCCTACTGTTGCAATGTTCAGGAACATCTTCAAGGCCAAATCATCGTCAATTCTCCTTCTTCGATTTCCCATAGTGGAATTCGCCTCGCCGTCAATGGATCCGTCAATCTTCAGGTTTAATTTCGCGGTTTCTTTTGTTATTTGAAAAGGAGTTACATGCTCATACCATGTCTTTCAATCGAGTGCTTTCTGAGCTACTGAACGCCTTTGGTTTCGTGTCGGAGGGTAATTGCTCTACGTGTAATCATAACTCTATCTATTTCTTCTCCCGTTGGATGCATGTTATGCTGTAAAGATTCGCGGAGGGTCTGCGGGAGTTATTGAGTCGGTTTACGGTGTCATCAAGCCTACTCCGATAGTGTGAGTTGGCACTCTTTACGATTTTTAAATCAACTGTGTATTCTGCAGACGTACCATGTAAAAGTTATATGTGATATTTGAATTCATTTCCAACTTCTGAAGTTGCTCTCGCTTGGTTGCAATACAACATGAAATCATATAAGATACGGTTAGGGAATTGAATGCTTTCACTAGTGGTAACGACTACTAAACTTGAAATTTATATTGGATATGGTTAGCGTATCATTTTGTCTTTTTATTTATCTAATAGATATAGCGGTTAATTTTGTTTCCCCCCTCATAATGACAGGAATAAGAGCATTGAGGTAAGACCATCTGGGAAGCTTGCTTCAGGTACAACTGAGGTATATTAGCCTTTGAAAGCTATGGAGTTTATATATGAATCAATGTTATAATTGTTTATTCACTCAGATTTTTCTTTTAAATTTTGTCCAATACTTATTTTCTTTGTTACACAATTGCATGTTTTGTTTATTGTTCATATCTTCCTGAGCCTGGATAACAGCCTCTTAAAATGGCTCATACTGCGTGTGCCGGATATCTTGTGTAGTTATAATGTTATATAGTTACTTGCTTATTGTTGCCTGCACGTTCAGATAGTTCACTGGACTGATTCCCTCAAAATCATGCAGATTCCATTTTCCATAATTCTGAGACAGCCAAGTGAAACCTTGGGAAGATTTTACGAGACTTTTCATGGAACTAACATAAACATTCAGGTGAAAGTTGTTAATCTTTCTAATTTCCCCTTTACTTTCTTCACACTATGAGTAAATGACTATTTGGTGTTCTGATTTTCACTCTAGTTTACCTCCCCACCACGAAAATAAACGAGATTTATCTTAACATAAACCTGATATTTGTTCAATTACTGAATAGTATGATAGTATTTAGTAACTGTAGATATAAGTAGAGGATACCTACACAAGTCGTTGTCTGCCACGATCGAGTTTATAGTTGAAAGTGATACAGGTACGATTTATTAGACCCTTCACTGTTATATATTTAACACAAGTATATGAAAATAATCTTTTTCTTTTGTTTTGTTACTAGCTGATCTTCTCGAGCGGCCATTGTCTTCTGAGATGGTTATCTTTTACATCACCCAGGATACACAAAGGCATCCACTACTTCCTGAACTAAAATCAGGTCTTTTCATCATAGTTCCTTTTCTATTATGTGTTTCTTTTATCTTATACAGGTGTGATTTTATTATATGATAATTTTTTTTTTCACGTGGGAATATTTGAACATAAGCCAACTACGGTAGTAGATAGAAGAAACAAACTATAGCTTAGTTTTTTATTTTCTATTTTAAATTTTATTTTCTATTTTTTATTTTCTATTTTCTATTTCAGTACTTATCCTTTTGCTGATGAGAGGTACTTCTAAATAGGTGGTTTTCGAGTGACAGGGAAAATGTCAACTCTGTGCTCTCTTTCAGATCCCATCACTGGTGAATTAACTGTTGAAGCATCTGCAGTTCCCATTAATTCAATTGACATTCACTTGTGTCGTGTGGAATCAGTTATTCTTGGAGAGAGAATCATAACTGAAACCTCTGTGATCCAATCTACCCAGGTATGTGCCATCTCATCTGCTCCGCGTATTTTAGTTTTTGCCTGTACAAAATTTCATATAAACTTACTGAGCTATTTTTATTTTATCCCTAGATAGCAGATGGAGACGTTTGTCGCAACATTACTCTGCCTATTTATGTCATACCACCCCGCCTTTTAACCTGCCCAACAGTCTTTGCTGGGTGAGTTGCAAATATAATAACTGCTGCACTACATTTTCAATGTCAGAGTTATCTGTTTTAGGTGCAAATACAAGTCCTTTGTATTAATCTCCTGTTAGTTCAACCAGAAATGAAAATTTTATATTTTGGCTTCTGACGTTCCTGGTTTACTTAATTCTTTTAGCAAATTTAAATATAGCCAATGTACTATTTTTGTCTACTAATCAAGATTGAGTTGTTACTGATAAACCTATTTGATGGCAAGTGGGCACAAAGCAAATGTGATTACATTGGAGGGATTGAATGACCGTTTGAATACTAATAACAGTTGTCATTCATTTCAATATTTCCCAATAAATTTCATTTTATATTCTTAACTGTGTGATGAGAAGTGAGAAAACACTCATGGAACCAAATGTATAAAACCCATTCGGCCTTTTCATTTTACCATATGATTGTAATGAATTCTAATACTGTATATCAAATAAGTTTATTTTGTTAATGATCGTAAGCAGCCTTGGTAAGTTGTTCCTTTGAAGTTCTCTCTGTGGTATCAGGTCTTGTTGAAGTGCAGTCTATCTGTTAATTGTGTGTCCATCTGTTTCTTCTCTGTCATTCTCATTTTTTACTTGGCATTTATTCCGCTAATAACGTGTCCTAATTGTTTATGACAGCCCCTTTTCAATTGAATTCAAAGTTTACATCGTTATAACCTTTCAGTCAGCGCTATCAAAATTACATTCCAAGACTGATCCAAGAACTCCAAGACTATGGGTGATCATCTCTCTCCCTCTCTCTCTCGGGTTCTTTGGATTTTCTCTTGTTTAACTAATCTAACTTGTTCTCTTGTTCTCAATTCCAGCTTGCAATTGAATCTCTACCCCTTGAGCTTGTTCGAAGTCGGTCAGATGATTAGTTCAGACCATCATTACACCTGTATTTTATGCCTTCTTGTGGATGATGCAGACTTTGAAAGGCATATTGTACCTTCATCTTTTTCGGTTTCGGTTTCTGTTTTGTTAGTTTTTTTTGGAGAGGTGGGGAGAGGGGTTTGATTTTGGTCTTAATGGGGGGTAAAGAAAAAAGACCATGTTCAAAACCTAGTTCTGTATTTATCCGTATAATAGTGTTATTTTGATTTTCGAATTCAGAAGTTATAATATGTCATTATATGAAGTTGAGATTACTAGATATATATTTTCCAAAAAGCATGAAAGGAATTTTATTTAATTTCCTTGTGTTTTGAGGACGAATGTTCTGGAGTATTTTTCTCCACCTTCATTTATTGGCCTTGAATTTGAATCGACTATTTTTATCGAATAAAAAAATAATTTCACTCTATCAACTATTTCATTAGACATTCAGTTCCACATTCACTTTATATGTTTGGAGCTGTGACATCCTCTAAACCAACCTCCAGCCTCAAAATTGTCTAAATTTCGAGACAATTCACAAAAAGAAAAAAAGAATAGTTTAATTACTCTTTTTAGTTTAGTTTATTTTAGTCGATGTATCTTGAATGTCTATTTTAATTCTTATAATTTCAAATTTTATTCATTTTTAGTCTTTATAATATTGAAACATTTATTTTACCCCTATATTTTTTTAAAAATGACTATTTTGATCCCTTCATTTTTATTATTTTTCATCGATCAAAATTTTAGTACGATACTTCATTTGCTAAATTATTCGAAATAAAATTTACATTAAAAAGTTAAAATTCGTGTTAAAATCATAATAACCAAAAAAAGAGGAAAAAAAATGGGCCTCGTCATACTATACGGTGGGCTTTTCAACTTGGAAACGGACCTCCCTTTATAAGCAAACAAAATAAAAACGCCATTATTTAGTTACCATAAAAATACACCAATGGCAGAATGGCAGAATGGCAGAAAAACCCTGCTGCTGCTGCTGCAGACTCCTCTTCACCTCTGCTCGGAAAATCCCTTCTCTGCACACTCTACTCTACAGATTGTACTCTCCCATTGTCTCCTCAAACCCTCTTTTCGCTTTCTTCTTCCGTTTCGCCTGATGGTATCTTGATACTTCGTCTTCAGCTCCAATCTTGCCACTTACCGGCGCCGTTCCTCGTGCCCAAAGCAGGACCGGTCTTCTATTCTATTTCCTCCCATGTATGCTTCTTGCCCTTTGATTCAACGTCTCCTACAAGAGGCTGAGAATTTTGATTTTTTAGCTTGTTCATTTCTTCTCCAAGTGTATTTTTGGAAATGGGCATGTTCTTATTAGCGATTAAGTTCAAGAAATTTGGGCGCTTGGCGAATGTTGACTTGACGTACTGCCTGTTTTCTGCCGTGTCCTTGTTGATTGGAGACCAAGCTGCGGATTGGACCAACGTTATTTTTGTCCGTGTTTTACTCTTCATGCTCTCTGGAAGTTCTCTTTGGGGTTGAGTTTAGTTTATTCAGTAGCAGCTAGCTACTGTGTGATTGTATCTAATTGACTTGATTGTGTCTAGGATTAGGTTAATCTTTTAATTCTTTGTGATCCAATATTAAGCTGCATGAGTTATTTAGTTTTGTTCTTTTTGTGGGGGGTTTAAATATGTTGTTGTTCTTGATAGCTACAATGTTTTCTACCATTTTTCTTTTTCTGGTAACCTTATTATTTCCAATGTTCATCCTTCATATTAGAACTCCAGACTCTTCTTTAGCAGAAATTTTACGACTTGGGTAGTTGTCATTTTTTCAAGATCTTTACAATGATTTAGTTTGCATCTCATCATCTCCTAGTTGTGACAGCCTTGATGGATTACGAGGAAGGATCTTTTGAGTGCTTGTTTTCGCAATACTGTTTGCTTCTCTTTCTATCTCTCTCTAAATCCCCCTTTTCCTTTCTTTTCTCTAATATAATAGCAATTTTATCCCTTTTTAAAAAAAAATACGAACTGATACCATTTCCTCATTTTGGCTACAGAGCTTCTATTTACTATGGAGAGTTCTGATGACGAGAAGGATGGAACTTACGGGAAATATGTTCCACGAGAACTGAGTCATCATAATCTAGTATCAAATGGTGCAAAATTTGTAGATGAAGTACTCAAAGGCCAGAATGAACTTTGCTTGGAAAATTTCCGCATGGACAAGCACATATTTTATAAATTGTGTGATATTTTGCAAGCCAAAGGCTTACTGCGTCACACAAACCGGATTAAGATTGAGGAGCAACTAGCCATATTCATGTTTATAATTGGTCACAATCTTAGGACACGAGCAGTTCAGGAGCTGTTCAGGTATTCAGGAGAAACAATAAGTCGCCATTTTAACAATGTATTGAATGCAATTATGGCAATATCATTGGACTTCTTCCAGCCTCCAGGATCCAACGTTCCAGCAGAAATATTAGAAGATCCGAGATTCTATCCCTACTTTAAGGTAGCTGGCTGGTTTTAGTTTGTCTTGTGTTTTCCTGTACTGTGGTTACCTCTTATTAAATTATCTTATTTTAGGATTGCGTGGGGGCAGTTGATGGCATACACATTCCAGTGATGGTTGGCGTTGACGAGCAAGGGCCTTTTCGAAATAAAAATGGTTTACTTTCTCAAAATGTATTAGCAGCATGCTCATTTGACCTCATGTTCCATTACGTTCTAGCAGGGTGGGAAGGATCGGCATCAGATTTGCAAGTTCTGAACTCAGCACTTACGAGGCGAAACAAACTGCATGTCCCTGAAGGTGTGTATACTAAAAGGAAAATCACGAATCTCTTAGGCTTAGTGTGACTAGTTGAATGAGTAGAAACGGTATTTGAATAGAGTATTTATTCCTTTTGGATCAGGCTATTGCTCTCTGCCATTTTCAGGCTAATTTTGTTGAATTGCAGGTAAGTACTATCTTGTGGACCAAAAGTATATGAACATGCCTGGATTCGTTGCCCCTTATCATGACGTCCCCTATCATTCAAAGGATTTTCCTGGTGGTTATCATCCTCAAGATGCCAAACAGCTGTTTAATCTACGGCATTCATTGTTGCGAAATGCTACCGACAGAACTTTTGGAGCTTTAAAGGCACGGTTCCCCATATTATTATCAGCTCCCCCTTACCCATTACAGACACAAGTTAAGTTAGTCGTTGCAACTTGTGCAATTCACAATTACATTCGGAGGGAGAAACCCGATGATTGGCTCTTTAGGCTGTACGAACAGGACCATCTTCCTCATATGGAGGATTCATTGCCTCCATTGGAGGCAGCACAGCTGGTGGGGACACACATTGAGACTCCAACTGTGGACATTGCTTTTGAGACAGAAGAACTAGAAATTACTTCGCAGTTGCGGGATGCTATCGCAACTGAATTGTGGAGTGACTATATTAATGATGTATCACCCATGTAAATTAAATGTATGTGATCATAGCTTCGAAGTTAGGTTAGATAATCTTCAGGAACACAAATGGGGTCTGATTGGGAAGGTGTACATTGGCATTACTTTGTTCATATGAAAGGAATATAACAGTGGACATTGTTTCTCACAGGTTCTCGCACAACTATACTACAAACTCGACTGTTTATTTTGTTTGTAAAGTAATATTTCATAGATCAATGTGACAAACAATCACAGGGGAACTTTGGAGTCGACTTTCAAGCGAATCTCACATTGTTGATTACTGCAGGAAGATCAACAATAAGCTGGTTACGTCGGTTGCTGATCTCTCTCTTGTTTATTATTTTAAAGTCAATGTTAGTTTGAGGCATAGCATATGGTTCTAAAATGTCAACTTTCGTTTGGACTTTCTTGTTTTTTCTTTTAGGCACATCAAGTTGTGAACTACTGCCAAGGAGACAACAGGTTAGCTTTTCTTGAGAATTTCAACTTTCTGATGTTTATATGCATTGAGTTGAACTCTGTTACGTATCTCAAACTTTCAGATTCAAGGCATCGAAAATGGCTGTTGTGAAAGATCTGAGCTAAGCTACAAAAATGTGATTGCTCAATTATTTTTGCTTCTTTTTCTGGATGATTGTGGCTGTTGTTTTGATCCTATTTTTGCTCTTTCATGCTTCAACTGAGAAATATTTGCAAAAGGGGTTCTTTTTTCTTCTTAAAAGAGATAAAAATGTGGCAGCAAAAGAAGTGCATGCTTCCCTGAGTTGAATTATGATTGAGAACGTGGTTCACTTTTTTGAGCAAAGGCCAAGCAGATGGCTGGCTTAACTTGCAAGAGCAACCATGTCTTTAACAGATCAGAACTCAGAGGCTGTTTTCTTCTTTTCTTCTGTTTCTTTTTACTGCTACATTCCTTTGGCTTCCATTTGAAAGTACCCCAAGTTCCCTACACTCTGTAATTTTCTTTTAAATCTGTTGGCATTGTCTGTATATGGTACCCCTTCTGTTGGGAGTGGGGCTACAAAATGGTTGGACCCCTAAATTGTCACATTCATACTTTTCTTTTGAATCAAATAGCAAAGAAACATTTCTTTAACGTTTACTCGCCCACTTTCAGGATTGTGTCTATCCGATCTCAAAATTTTCAACTCCATTAGGTATTTTTAAAATTCACGGAGATCTATTAAATGAAATTTTAACATGATCTTAATCTTTGAATTTGGTGACTAATAGGTTTACAAATTTTTAAATAGAAAGTTTAATCATACATTTTATAGTCCACTCACTTAATAGGCACAAAATTTAAAGTTTAGAAATCTATCATATACTTTTTGCTCTTTAGGCTTTTTCCTTTCAAAACTAGTTCAAGTTATTATTATAATTATTTTTTTTAAACTATTAAAATTTCAAGACTAATAAGTTTCTATCACAACACTTGGTATTCCAAAAATTTGTTAGACATGAAGTGGAGCACAGATGGATACTTTTGTTTTGGTTACATTTTTTTTTCAATTATGTATTTAACTAAAAGATTCGAGATTTAAATAAACATTTCTACTAGTCGATGAATAAAAAAAAAAAAAAAGCATATTTTATAATATGGGGGATTGAGCTTTGGCCCTTTGGTATTTATTGGATACTCTGACTTCCTCTGATTCATTGGTCAGTCATTTTAGTTGACTTTTCTTTCTCTCTTTCTTTACATCTTTATTTTATAATGTTCTTCAATTAGGATCTTTTTGGATCGCGGATTAGACATAAACTCATCCTTATAAAATTCATTTTTTTATGCTAATTCTTGTAAATGAAAATTTCATAAATACACGATAATCTATTATTTTGAACAATATTAATACACACAAACTCAAGATCAACCCTACATTTTATAAATCTAAATTTATTGAAATTCATACATCTTCATGAATTTTATACAATAAATTTAGCAATCGTCAAGAAAAATCTAAATTTCTTTACTTTTCTATCTTGTAGTTATTGATAGGAACAAATCGATTATTAATATTAGATATGTTATTGCGTTGTCTATGATTATGTCATCACCCCTTCTAATATAATATGTTACATACATTAAGTTAAGATTATGTATATTAATATGTTATATAATGTGTGGATAATAGAAAAGTAAAAAATGAAAAAAGTGGAGGACAAAATTGAGAATAAATAAAAGAGAAGAAGAAAGGAAACAGACACAAAAAGGCTGCACTAACAATCATTTTGAACCCATTCTCTCTCTCTCTCTCTCTCTCCAATTCCAAATCCAAATTCTTAATCCTTTCTCTCTCTCTTCTTTCGAATTTCAATCTCAGTTTCTCTGAATCTCTAGAGAGAGAGAGATAGAGAGAGAGAGAGAGAGAGAGAGAGAGAGCAGAGGAGAGATGTTGAATCCGGCGAACGATCTGTTACCGCCGCCGTCTTCTCCAACCAATTCATCCATCTCCTCCTCCGATCTCGACACTGAGGTGCTCGCCGTCGCATCCTCCCATTTTCCGATTCTTGACCTATTTTTTATTTTGGAAATTCAATTCCGTTCGTTGCTTTTGTTCTGCAGTCTACAGGTTCGTTTTTCCATGATAGGAGCACGAGCTTGGGGACTCTAATGGGCGTCAGTTTTCCGGCGATAACCTTCCGAGCGCCGTCACAGAACCGAGACCAACACGCCGGCGCAGCCGCCGCCGCCGCCGGCCCTTCCCGCAGGAGCAAGAAGCCGAAGAGGAAAACCACGGCGGCGCCGGCACTCGTCGCGGATCGGAAGCGGAGGTGGTGGCGGCTGTGCCGGGACGACGGCGTTAAGCCGGCATCTCTCGGCGAGTTTCTCGAGGTCGAACGGAGATTTGGGGACGGTGCTTTCTACGGTAACGCGGTGGATCTGGAAGGCGTGGTAGATCAACAGAGGAATGGGCGAATGTTGTTCGCCGACGGGAGAGTGCTTCCGCCGCCGCCGCAAACGGAGGAAGACGCGTCGGCGGCCGGCGCTCTCTGCCGGTTTTCCGTATCGCTCACCGGGATTTGCAGCGGCGGTGCCGGCTAAAATGTGGGATTTCTGCAGTTTATTTATCATATTATATTTATTATATATTAATTAATCAAATGCTTTAATTAACGTGGAAGAAAGAAAGGGAAAAAAAAAACGTCACCTTTATCTTGTAGGTGACCCTCTTTTATTTGATTTCCTTTAATCATCTCACACATTACTCTTCTCTTTTTTCTTTAAAAAAAAAGTAACACTCAGATCTTCATCTTTGAAGCTTCCGGAGATTTTTCTGTTCAGGTTGTGAATTATCAATTATGAACTTTGTTTGAGCAAAATTCATAAATTAATTTGAAAAAATGTATCCCTCTACTAATAATTTTTCCATATCACATCTAGTTTATTCAATAGGATTAGATTTCTAATATATTTAATTAGGATTTTTTTTAGTACAAGTGTAGACAGAAGGATTTGAATCCATGATATTTTAATCAAACACATGTGTCAATTACTACTAACTTAAGTTTACGTTGACAACAATATATTCAATCAGTTCTCCAACATTATCTATAGAATACTAAATCAACATAAGTTGATATGATGTGAAAAGTAAGTAATTAGGTTAATGAAATGTTATGCTGGCGTTTCACTAGTTCTTTTCATAATACTTTTACATCCGTGAGTATTTCGACAGATTTGTGCACACCTCGACCTCGACTCTTCTTATGATCATGCTGATCTTAATAACAAAGAGATTATATCATGAAAGGGAAAGTGGAAGAAAAATTGTAAGCAAGATTTTCAATGCTCATGTGTATAGATAGTTATGGGCCATATTTTGAAGGAAGTGATATTGGAGGTGGGAACCATCCATTGGCATGGAGATGTGACCTTTCTTTTCAAAAAATGCCAAAGGACTTATTTGAGTGGATAAAGGGTTAAAATCCAATTAGATGTTGAAAACATACAACCAACCAAATGAGTTCTCAATGTTCATACACATCCATTGTTGCCCACCTAACAAGATATATGTTTTATGTCACTTTCACCTTTGACAATGCCCCTAATAAACTTGATAATGAAAGCTTTTAAGCTTTTAAGGAAAACAAACAAGTAGACAGATTATGAAGGTCTGACCAACCATCCACACAGAATTTTCCAAAATGAAGAACAGATTTATTCAAAATGTAGAAAACTTGTTATCTTTTCTTAGTTCAAAGAGTCTGAGGCAGCATTATGAAAAACAATACCAACAAAAATAACTCTCACATACAATTTAAGAGTTCCAGTTCGCTCCTGCTCTATAGAATATTATGGTATAGTTTTCGCTATCTTCGGTTTGTTTTTTGCCTGAGTCTTTTGAAAGCCATGAAGGTTACGGCAGCCGAGAGAGAGTACCTGCACAAAGATCAGCCATTGCAAGAATAAGATTGTGTTAAGTCTTCTTATTGAAACTTCTTTAACATCAAAATCTTCTTTACTTTCCCTTCGTTCCCTTTTTGCAAGGATTATGAGTTGAATTAGGCTTCTACATGAACAAAACGAATTGCAAGCCAACAAAAAAAACGAAGTGCCTATAGATTAAAGTACGTCGACTGCTAGGATCGGGGAACCTTCAGTTAAGGTTTGAAGTGTTTTTGAAGCAGTAGAATAAACAACATTCGGCAGTCAACCGACCAAATGGGAATCAGATATAATGCAACATCTAATTCTCAATACAATTGCAATAATAACTAGTCAGAAGTAAAAGAAACTGAAATTTATTCCATATCTAAAATCTAATTTTATATGCACGGTGAGAAGGAAAGACCAAGGATCTAGAGCATCAGCAAAGAAACACATGAAAACGTCAAATGCCTTTATGCTTAGGAGTACCTCATGGTCATACTCATATGCATATGAGGAAGCTGTAGTGAATTTTACGTGGAAAATGATATATGGAAAAGGGTAACGACATACCATGTTAATGTGTAATTAAGATGATCCTGTGGCATAACAGAACTCCGTGTCAAGGTATTAACATCCTTTGGAATGGGGTATGGATCACTCGGGTTCACATCCTCATTTATGTCTTCCACATAAATAACATCCTCAGGAAGACCAGACGCACGGGCAATCCCTGGAACGTCAACATAAAACCACTGGCTAGAGCGGGGATCATTTGCTGGAACAAATATGCTAGGCTTCTCACTTGTGCGAACTACTCCAATTACTTCTGTTGGAGTAATGGGAGCGACATCATTCTGCATATCAAGAAAAGTTAGAATATTGGTCTTAGAATCTATATGAATGACATTTATCAGGAGGAAATATCATAAAGAACCTTTAGATTCTCAGCCCTTTTGGACCAGAACTTCCACCAAGAGCTTCTCTCACTCTCTTGAATCGAGGAGGATGCAATATCTGAAGACTGTTCACTACTTTGTTGATCTACTTCCAAAGCCTTCTCCTTCCAACTACGCGGAACCCATCCTCTATTAACCAAAACCGGTGACTGCACACTGGAGGAGGGTTATTTGATATATTCTTGGTTAAATGGAGTCACAAATCAAATACCAAACAACTTAATAGACAGATTTCGATTGCATACAGCATGACAATGGGAATTGGGAGAAATAAAGGTGCTATTTTGTTCCGTATCCTTGGGAATTCATTACAGATCCATGTGTTAATAAACATTGAGAGCTAAGTAAGTGAAGCCATGATAACCATACTACCGTATTATGAATGAATAACTTATGAAACTACAGAAGTAAGCCAATTAAACCATAAGAATGAAAGAATCCCAATAACAAATTACCATTTATTTAGTTCATATCAGCAGGAAAAGAGAAATCTGATTTGGTGGTGCGGAACAGAAAGTTTGCAAGAATAGGAAAAAGCCATGTTATGAATCAGATATTGATGTTTTAAATATAAATAGATTGGTTGATAGTAATGATACTAATGAAATTAAAATCTTGGTTCAGTATCATGGGGAAATAAACAATGCAGGTTCTCTCTTATAAAACAATGATTATAAATTGGTATATTCAACCATAAAGCTTCACTGGAAAATACCTATCAGGTATGTTGGGAATGGGCACCAATGGGGTAATAACATAATGGCCATTTTCAGTCACTCCTGAAATGCTTCTTGAACGTGGACCGACATAGATTGATTTTTTCTCATCAAAAACTCCTTTACAGATTACCCTTCTGAACTCCAGATCATCTAGCTTGTCTTCCAATGGAAACAAGCTGTTTATGTTCACGGGTTCCATTAACAATCGCTTCTGCCTGAAATCTAGCATTTCTATCTGCAAAATAAAGTGCCAAAGATGGTTGGTACTTGGATGAAAAATTTGTGTACATCAGTTCCCTGCAAGAGTATTTAGATGATTTGATGTAGAAAATACATAAAGAGTAAACTATGGAAATTACTTTCGGCTTCCAAAGAAGCCTGAGCATGGCCATGCAGAGATGTAATATAGAAAAAAGTTTCAACATCCTGACAGGCCAAATGTTTTAATGATTCAACATCTGCACTCCTCAGTTGTCAAAATTCACTTCCGCAAAGAGTATCACCACAACAATTTCCCCCCCTATGCCACCAACCGAACCCATATGTCAATGAGAAAGGTTAGAAATCCTTCACATAGACCCCATTAATTGTCCTTAAGATTTTAGAAATCATAGATCCTTTTCAACTATCAATCTTCCACAAAATGAATATATAGGGCAACACCTGTAAACAATGTAAAGCATAAACAATATGATCCAAGCGTCTAAACTTGATCTCCCATCTGCAAGACCAGCATTCTTTTGGAGCTGTGCATTTCTTCTAATGGAGGAATTTCACTAATTTTAACTGGATCAATGATTAAATAAGCAATGAAAGAAATACCCATCCTTTTTTCCTGAGTCGATTAATTGCAAAAGACAGAACAGGCCTCTTCAGTTTTAACACAAAAAATGTGTCGAATGCATACTCGTGTTAGATCAATTACAGCTTAATTTGTTGGGGGAGGGACGGGGAAATTGAAAAACTAAACCGTAAACAATATAATTGAAACAAGCACACAACACAATATCCAGCAATAATTCAAAATACCTTCTCTTGCCTCCTGAAAATCTGCCACGTTCCGAGGCCAAACGTGAGAGCCCCAGGTAGAAACAGGAGCCATTTTGACCATCTCGACTCTCTTTGTTTCTCTAAGAAAACACCCACCAACCAAAACACGAATTTCAACAATCAAATCACATGAACCTAAATCATTTTCCAAAATTAAGACAAACCCAGATAGAAGGAAGCTCAGAAAACTCACGTTGAGCTTGCGAAAGGGAAGATGACTGGGGATCCGAGGCAGAAGAAACTGCAGCGGCAGAGCTGAACAAAGAATAAGATGAAGGCGTGGAGTAGTGCCCGGAAAGGGAAAGACAAGGACGAAATTTGGTTATGGATTTAGCAAAATAAGGTGATGCCATGTTCTTAATGCTGACATTTGGAGAGTTTCAGTCGTTTTCTTCAGCTGGCTGCCCTGCCCCGCTGAGCTTGCAAACTCTTCCTGGGGGTTAAGGGTTTATGAATTTGCCTTCATATTTCATACAGCCGCTGCCTCTTGTTCAAAGAGAAATTCAACTTGCTCAATAAAATAAATTGTATTCCACTTTTATAATTAAAAATCAAATCACAATTTAATAAATCATTGTAATATTGCATACTCAATAAAAATAAAAGAAAAAAGAAAAATCAGATCATACCAATTGTAAATTTTTTTTAATAAAAAAGAACCCATTATCAACAAATTAAGTTCTTTTTTTCTTTTAATTTTTTAGTACCTCAACCAAACTTTGTTCTTTTGTTTAATTCAAAATGTTTCACTTGACAAGGAGATGTTTGTTGTAGCGAAATTTTGACCCTTGCAATATTTGGTGGAAGGAATAACTGCAAAGAGAAGAAGAACACTTTATTCAAGTAAATTTGATTAATTATTATTAAAAAACTAATAAATCTGATCCATTATCTCAATTCGAATTATTTACATACTAGCATGCATATTAATTAGGGGAGTTACGTTAACTTAACGGGTGGAATGAAGATTCGAAGCCCTTACTTTAAAAATTACTTTTATATCTTAATTTCCAACCAATTTTAGTAAACTTTGATTTCTAATTTTTTCGGTCCTACCGATCATTTATAAAAGATTTCAATAATAAATGAGAATGAGATTGTGGACATCAAAATGGACAATGCACTTCAAATTATATCCACGGCCAATCATATGCATTCATAGACTTTCTTTTAACATATGTTATTAGAAGTATATAAAAATAAATATCTATGATAGTTAATGTTTCATTTATTCCATTATTTTTATTGACATTAAAATAATATTTTTATTTTAGAATTAAAATGAATCACATTAGGTTTAAAAATAGGTTAAGGAAATCTTAATTAAATTTTAAAAATGAAAAACAAATCATTTTTAAAACTCATGTTTTGTTTTTATTGAGTAAAATTTAAAAAATAACTTTTAAAATATAACCTAAAATTAAATTAAATTTTATTTTGTTAGTTCAACCAATACTAAGATTCTATCCTACTAGCTAACTAGAGAGGGTAATATTTGTTTTTAAAAGATATATGTTAAAAGACAAAAATAATAAAGGTAAAAATCATATAAAATTTACATTATCTTTGACGACGAGGGACATTAAAATCTACCCAAATCCGATAAGCGGATTGCTTATGAATTAAATTTACCCAAATATTAGATATCTAATAAAATTACCCAAAAGTAACTATAAGCAAAATTATATTGAGAAAGGAAGATCAAGAATAAAATTAGAGAATGTGAAGGGGGTTGTGATGCCGCCGCCGCCGTGACTGTGGCTGCGAAAGCCGCTTCCTCCCCTCTGCCGGCGGCGATCATTACAGAAAAATTACAATGGCAAAGTTGGAAACATAAATAACAGTAAATTGCAATGTATATGCAAATAATGCATGAAATGACGCGCTTACCCCTATTGTCAACAAATATGCACGAATCTGTATCGGGGATCTGAGGACATGGACGACTTTTTCGATGTATGCTTGTTTCATTGCCCTGCTGCAACTTCTTCTACATTTTATGTTCGTTTTTAAATGTTTCATCTAAATGATATTGTGTTATGCTATGTGTGATTATGGCTTTGCGAGATGTGGGTTTAGTTGGCCACCTACAAATGGAACTTTGTATTGGATCGGCGCTCAAACATGTATACTCCGAAACTTTTAGTACTTAATTATCTAAACTAATACCAAGTCAGGTTTAAATGGATGTCAATTGGGTACCTTTGAGAATGTGGACCTCCACCTCTTGTAAGAGAAGTTTTGGAAATTTTTTCTTTTATTAAAAGAAAAGAGCTTTGGAAAATGTTGTCCTGCAATTACGACGTCTACCTATCATTTAACAAATCTTTTGTTGAGAGCTAGAAGATTATTTATTAGCAAAATTGATGTTCCGCCAAATTCCTTATTGGTCATAATCTTTTCCATGTCGCAATCGAGCTGATATATGTTTATAGATGTTATAGAGAACAAAAATGACCCGAAACGAGATAAGGAGTTGAAGTCCGAGATCATCAATTGAAGGAGACCGGCTCGCAACGTAACGGGTCGGACTAAAGGACGACTAGCGTCGAGGCAGAGAACGAGGAAAGCAACCGACAGAAAACCAACCGGGCTGAGCAGGGCTCGGTCCCTACCCCTGCTCGGCCTCGGGCAAGGCTCAGCCGAAGGCCCAGCCCGTGAATCTCCCACCTGCGATCAACGATTCCCCTCAGGCCTTGAAACGCTGAATTAGGGTTTTGGCTACGGAAGGTTCTAGAATCATGTTCGACCCAACCTTAGAGCGAGGCAATTGACTTATCTCTAGCTCACTATTTTCTCAACTCTCCCTCGTTAACTTAAGCATCGGAGCCCGTGTGACTGAGGTCACATCGGTTTAGATCGATTTAGTTTTGCAGGTATCGATTCCCTTATTATCAAGTTATGTGTGTGCGAGAAGGAGAATCGGAGGGTCAAAATCCACGCATCAACAATAGACACATTGGTTCATTCTCCTCATGCTCGACATGGCCGAATTGAGATCCAAATGCATGTGCCCTTGGTAGGGTAGAACCATATGTTTGTATTTATTTTACACCTAACATGTTCTTACCCAAATTCATGTTGTGTTTTATTTTTTTATTGAATCACAGGAAGATTTTTGAAATATATCTATTATTGGAAGGGGCGAAAGTAGGCTCACTATTAAAAGGTTGAAAAACGCACAACAAAAGGTGGAAGAGATAAAATTTGTAATTTAAACAAAAAGAAGGAAAAAAATTAGTTGCGTAAAACAAGGTTTTTTTTTGCCCCTTTCCTTCAGGAAAGTTGCCTAAAACAATTAAAAGAGAGTCCACGTGGATAGAAAAATTCGAGTAATCAGGAGTGTACCAGCTCAGACTATTAAATTTTACTTTTATAAATAATTTTTTAAAAGATCAAATCTTCACAATTCATTATTATTTTAAAAAAATTATATTTTTACATTTCATTCTTTTATATTCTACAACTCATTAATTTTGATAAGAAATCTCTATTTTGCATTTCTCTCTCATGGTGAAATATTTAAGGGTGATGAAGAGAATATTACTTTTTAAGTATTTAAGAAAATATTTAAGTATTTTTATTAGTAGATCCACGTCATTTTTAATATAGTGCTGTTGGCGTGGCAAAAAGTGAGTGATGACTCCCAATAGTACAATGATGACAAAAATGGTTAAGGTTTAATGGAGTAGAGTGGTAACGGCAGAGGAAAGGAATCTCAGCTCAATTGCAAATGGTGGTAAGTGTAGGAAAATCCAAAACTAAAACAAACAACCAACCCCCTATTTTGCATGCGCTAAGCTAGCAAATTCTCATGTTTTTCAACCCATTCCTCTTCATTATTCATGATTCCCACAAAGGCAAAATAAACATTCATGCTGCAGCTTCTCCATAAAAACGAAAGCAACAATGAAAAAGTTACGATGTTATTGGCTCTAAGGATAAGGATAAAAGATAGAATGGACTAAAATGATGAACAGGAAAACGGCCTACAGAAATGATGAAACTAGCAGTAAACCCACAAATGAGGAAGAAGCAGCTGCCAACCCATACGCTGGATTCTTCTTGGTTGAGCTGTTAGGTTTGCTGGAACTCGAAGAATCTGAAATCCAAAATAATTATAAAAACCCAACAATCAACCAATTTGAACATTAAATTTTCATGAAATCGGTACTTCGATCGTCAAACAATCAAAATCACATTCAGATTAGCACAATATAGCCAAAATTTTTGGGCACTAACAGAATCGAATTAAAAAAAAATGAAGATCCACAGGAATTTGATTTACCATTGGAAGTTGTAGGGACTGGAGGAGGAGGAGGAGGAGGATAAGGACGAGGAGGAGCATCCGTTGATGCAGTTGGTGGGCTCGCCCCCGCTGAAAAAAAGGCAGGGGAAAACGTACGAAAGTGATTTAAACGACGTCGTAATGTGCTCAAGTGAAATTGATTTTCGAGTTGAGTGAAATAGTACCATCGGCGCACTTGGAAGTATCAGCCTTGCCGCCGCAGGCAGCGGGAAGCTTCAAGGCGTCGCTCTGAGTGACATTGAGGCCCTTCAACAGCTGCGCGTTATCGAAGAAGGAGCAGAGACAGTTGGGATCGTCGGCCAGCATCTCCTTCAGCGGCACACAGCACGCCGGCGACGGATTGGACGGCGGCTTGATGAACGGTTGACAGGGAAGAATCTTCTGTATGCAGGGCGGAAGTTGGCCGGCCTGATGACCGACCACGATCCAGTCGCGATCTTCAGAGAATACGACGAAAATGTGAGAAGAAATAATCAAGAGGAGGAAGGGGAGGAATGTAGCGGACGCCATTGTTTCCGATCGAGAGAGAAATTGATGTCGTAGTTCTTACAGGGGAGCGGAAAGCAGGGGTAGTTAGGGCTGGGAAGTAATGAGGGGTATTTATAGGGTGGTTCGGGCTTCTCCCTCGCCATCGCCATCGCCATCGCCACAACTGATATTTCTAACTTATTCCTAATATTTCGCTTCTTCAGTTACACTTCGCCATCGTTTTGTGCGTACAGCTGCCAGAACACAACTCAGTCCCAAGGATTTTTCCTTTTTTTTTGTTTGTTTGTTTTTTTTAATATAATTATCTTGTGTTGTTTGCTGTTTTTAAAATTTTGTGAGTTTTGTTAATTTATTTATTTTTTTATAATAGAAAACATTGCATTAAGAAGTAATAGGAAGATTATGGGTTTCATGAAAGTGTGGCGATCACATACCACAATTAGAATTTGGGAAGGAAAATAATCATCCTTTGACGTTGAGGTTGACTCATCAATTATGGGGGATATTGTCAATTATAGCACCCCTATTTAGAATTGAAAGGGAAATAATTGATTTCAAAGTTGTCTTCTTTTCCGCTATGGCAGATAAGGAAGGATTATGCAAATTTCTCAAATCATACTACCGAATCTCAATACAATCAAGACTCGTAGCCTCCACAAATTCCATAACAGTGTTTGAGTCGACCGTCGTTGTACCTCTGATCCACTGTTGCCTAGGATGCAACGAAGATAAAGAGTCATCCTAAGAAATCGCACGTGGATTCACCAATTTGTGTATGATAACTCTTCCAAACACATTGATGATGAAGCCACGAACTATACATAATAATATTGTCTTTGACTTTCTCAGCCGCAACATCACTATCGCCATCCAACAGGGAGATCCCGACACCCGACTACCATTCGCCATCATAGAAATTGGCGGGAAAGAAAGATTCTCCCCGAAAATCACCACATGATGGAGTGTTTTCCACATCTAAGTCGCTCTCTTACGCCCTGCGCTGGCACATGATTTGTTGTTTCTTTCTCATCCAAGCAAACTTGACATATAGGCAATACATTTATGCCTTTTCTTTCTCAAATTTGAGATTTGTTATGAATTATTGCTTTCCATATAAAAATCTTGATGCAGAGGGCCACTTAATTCTCCAGAATGTATAGTCCACCACGCCTCTTTGTTTCTATCACTCGTTGAATGCGATAATAATATAGTCCTCGTAGTAAACTTTTATCCATTTTTAACCGGATAGTGACCCTGCTTGATGTAATGTCAAGTTCATTGATCCAACCCACTCGTGCCACTACTTGGATTTGGGTGATCATCTCTCCATGTCTATGCACAAACTACTTCCTCTAACTTCACCAAATCCCACCTCTACTTCCTCAGGGAGTAATGAAATCAGTCATCAAGATATATCTTCCTATTTTGATTCAAATTTAAAAATATTGGATGAAAAAATTGATTCTCGAGGTATCCATGCATCTTCGTAAAAATCAATAGTGGTTCCATCACCCACCACTTGCCGGCCACCCGTCGCCCTAAACGGCCATCACATTTTTTTAATTAATAAATTTAATGCTCATTCTTTGAGATGATATATTAATATATATTGCTTTTCGACTCTATTTTGTAAAGTTCATCTCAAATAGAAGTAAATAATATATACAACGTTTTTTTAATACTTAATATTTAAAGGTGGAGATTAAAACTCTTAAACTTTATGGTTGGATACAGACCTATACTCTATATATACTATATATAATAATAATAATAAATTTTTGCGTTGTGTATATTGAAGAATAAAACCGTAAGATAATATTATCAAAAATCATTTTATTATAGTGTTGGTGATGTATTATGTAACAAATATTTATTAAAAGATAATATAAATCTAACTTAATTGGTTAAGACATGTATTATTGACCAAAAAGTGTATATTCGATCTCACGTGGTTTTATAACATATATATTCATTAAAAGAGATTGGATTGGGAAAATATATTTAAACTTATGAAATATATCTAGATACATATGCCAATTTTCAACATAAATTGACAGTTTGGCCGAGTGGTCTAAGGCGCCAGATTTAGGCTCTGGTCCGAAAGGGCGTGGGTTCAAATCCCACAGCTGTCACTTTTTTTATTTTCATTTTTTCTCATTTCGTTTCCTCTGTTTTGGGTTGGCGGCTCTCAAGACATAAGTACTTCAGAGTTAATAAGGGCCGAAGAGAAGTGGGTCCATTTTTTTTATGGGCTTTGCTGTCTTGAAACAAAATTTGAAGAAGAGAGTTTGATTTGGTGCAGTATTTATCGAAACATTCTTGAATCTTCTTGGTTTTGCCTCCATTCCCTTCCAGTGATGGAGAAACATTAGTTTTGTTGGAACTTCCAAAGACAGACAGTGACAAAAACAAAGAGATTTCAGACAGAAAGAGTGAAAAAAACAAGCAAAATTCCTTGTTTATTTCTCCCCCCAACTCCTTCCATTATGTCCAAATTTCTCCCCTTCTTATAGCTTCTTGCAACTCCACCATCCTTAGCTTCTTCAATGCCACTTTTTGTTCACAACTTGACTCTTAAATCCTAGAATCCGTTGCAGCCATGGCAGTAGATGCCCGGAGAGGGGCAAACCGAAGTCTCGAGACCCTTCTCGACATCGACAAGGCTGTCGCTGCGAAAGAAACAGTGACGCCGCAGCTGCAGAAGTCGTTGCCAAGGCAGGGCCTTGAGTTCAACAACTTGTCCTATACTGTCCTGAAGAAGCAGAAAAAAGATGGGGTTTGGGTAAAAAGAGAAGCTTATCTTTTGAACGACATCTCCGGGCAGGCGCTGCGAGGCGAAATCATGGCCATCTTGGGACCGAGTGGTGCCGGGAAATCAACTTTCCTCGACGCCTTGGCTGGTCGGATGGCGAAAGGAAGCCTCCAAGGATCTGTTAGAATCGACGGCAAACCGGTGACAGCAAGTTACATGAAGATGGTTTCATCTTATGTGATGCAAGATGACCAACTCTTTCCAATGTTAACTGTGTTTGAGACATTCATGTTTGCAGCTGAGGTCAGACTTCCCTCTTCAATTTCCAGGAATGAGAAGAAGAATAGAGTTTATGAACTCATTGAACAACTAGGCTTACAGGTACTACTTTCCTACTCACATCTCTTCTTTTTGAACTCTTCTCAGCCACCCCTAGTTGTGTTTTTCTCTGTTCTGTAGAGTGCGATGCATACGTATATAGGCGACGAAGGGAGGAGGGGAGTTTCGGGAGGGGAGCGACGGAGGGTCTCGATAGGAATCGACATCATCCACAAACCATCCCTCCTATTTCTCGACGAGCCAACCTCAGGATTGGATTCTACTAGTGCTTATAGTGTAGTTGAGAAGGTGAAGGAGATTGCTCGAAGTGGCAGCATTGTCTTAATGACCATTCATCAGCCTTCTTACAGAATCCAACTGTTGCTCGACCGCATAACTGTTCTTGCTAGGTACAACATTTGTCACCCTTTTAAGCCGCTGTTGTTGGATAGAAGTTGTTGATTTTGTGGGCTGTAATGATAGTTCTATTTTGGTTATGATCAAAATGTGGTTACAGGGGAAGATTGATATATGCAGGAAGTCCAATAAACCTTTCTGCTCATCTCTGTGGATTTGGAAGGCCAGTGCCAGAGGGTGAAAACAGCATTGAATATCTATTAGATGTGATCAAAGAATATGATGAATCAACCGTGGGGTTGGAGCCTCTAGTTCTATACCAACGAAATGGCATTAAGCCTGATCTAGTTGCAAGGACCCCTATTCCAAAAACACCTCGAACTCCTTACAAGAAGACCCCGAGGTCGGTACCAAAGTTCCTAAGCCTTCGTAGCCAAGCATTCTCTACAACATCGGGGCCAAACTCGAGCCAATTTGATTCTGCATATGCATATGATGACAATGAAGATGATGATTTTGATAGGTCTCTTGAACGTAAATCTGGCATGAATAATCGTAGTGGTGTTTTTAATCCTCCTTTGGCATCTCAGTTTTACAAAGATTTGTCTGTTTGGGTATATAATGGTGTTAAAGGAACTCCCAGTCGACGCCCGTCGTGGACTCCAGCAAGAACGCCAGGACAGACACCAGGAAAAACACCTATATCTGGAGCTAGAAGTGTAGTTTCAAGTCAGTTTCCATCATCTCATCAAACTCCTCAGGCAAAGATACCTTCAGTATTTAGCATGTCGATCGACTCTCATTTGCCTTCTTTCAAAGAGTTTGACATTGAAGAAGTTCTTGATGAGTCAGACCATGGTCCTAAATACGCAAATCCTTGGCTCCGCGAGGTGCTCGTGCTCTCGTGGCGAACAACACTCAACGTGATTCGCACCCCAGAATTGTTTCTCTCTCGTGAGATTGTATTGACAGTAATGGCATTGATCCTCTCTAGCATGTTTAAGCACCTTGGCCATCCTACCTTCAAAGATATTAACAGACTTCTTAACTTCTATATCTTCGCAGTCTGTCTGGTTTTCTTTTCCTCAAATGATGCTGTCCCAACATTCATTCAAGAAAGATTCATCTTCATCAGAGAGACTTCACACAATGCATATCGAGCTTCCTCATACGTGGTCTCCTCCCTCATTGTCTATCTCCCATTTTTTGCCATCCAAGGCTTCACATTTGTTGTAATAACCCAATTCTGGCTTCACCTGAAAAGCAACCTCTTCTTCTTTTGGATTACACTCTTTGCGTCGCTCATTACAACAAATGCATACGTTATGCTCGTGAGTGCGCTCGTCCCAAGTTACATAACAGGCTATGCAATAGTAATTGCCACCACAGCCATTTTCTTCCTCACTTGTGGGTTCTTCCTGAAACGAACTCAGATGCCAATCTATTGGAGGTGGCTCCATTACATCTCTGCTATAAAGTACCCATTCGAATCATTGTTGATCAATGAATTCAAAGGCAAAAGATGCTATCAAGGGATCCCCAGCGATCTTTCCCCCGGTCCATTGGGAGATGTCAGGTTTAGTAAGTTGCATAATGTTTCTACAGATCTACAACCCAACTGCATGTTGATCGGAGAAGACGTTCTGTTCTCGATGGACATTAACATGGAGAACATATGGTACGACATCGCTATCCTGCTGGCTTGGGGTGTGCTTTACCGGCTGTTCTTCTATCTTGTTCTCAGATTTTACTCCAAGAATGAGAGAAAATGAAGCATGCATTTTCTTGGATCTCTCAAGTCTTTTCAATGCAAATAATTTCAAGTTGAAGTTGTAATGCCCCACCAGAATCATTCTTCAGAGGCTGATCCAAAGCACAGGAAACAGGCCAAGCCACTTTGAGCAAGACAATGTAATACCAAAACCATGTCTGTTTTCAGAATGTTTCAACTCTGTCTCAACAAAAGCCTACCCAAGTTTTCTAATTGAGTTGTAAACAGACAATTTGTTTTTTCTAATATCCTTGAAGAACTACCCTTGTTTAGTTTCCCAAAAAAAACCAGATACTTTGATTGCAAACTTAAAATAAGATGAATCCACTGCACTGAAACAAAGTGGAGATAAGATAACGATGAAAAGGTTTAAATGTGTCACATCAAACATATCAAGATTGTTCTTCGCCATCGCAAGTAAAAAACTATCTGATATAATGGAACGGCCCATGCTCTGATCTATTTTTGGTTGAATGTTCTTTTCTTGTGGGGTTTCTCACTTCTCTCCATATTTAATTATTTGTTCTCAAATGACATGTGAGCACTAAAAAACAGAGTTGAGAGAGAAGAAACAATAGTGTCAAAATGTTCTCAGCATGTGATGAGTGGGTCCTGAAGCAAGTTGATTCTCTATCACGTTTTCAAGTTGTGGAAAGAACATATAGGAATCATTCAGAATAGTTTTACATAATTCTTCAAAGGGGCAAAAAAAAAAATCTTTCAAGTATTTTATACAACAACAAAATATCGTCCCATTTTCTCTGGGTGTAAAAAAAAAGGCAATATTTTACATAAATATGGAGCAACTAAGTTGCATCTTGTTCGCAGGGTTCTCCAATAATAACAGAAACTAACTGCGCTTTTTGAATTGAACAAGAGAGAAAAACTAATATATATATATATATAAAAAAAAAGGGAACCAAGAACCAATCTAAGCTAACAGATTGACAAAATTTGCTTTAGAAGATTTATCTAAACTTCTGTAATATTAATGACACACCGATTTGTGATGCCCCGAGCGAGAGGAACTGGCAGCCTAGAGGAATATCATCAGGCCATCAGATCCAAGGTTGTGGATGAGCAGTCTGATGTTTTCTTTGCAACACTGTAGGGGCATGTGTTTATCCTAAAACAACATTAGAGAAGAAACTCATGAATTTCCGAGTCGAAACGACACAAAACTACCCCTTTTTAGTAAAAAGAATCGGGGTCGAAAACTCACCGTTCCTTGCGCTTCTCTAAAAACCGAGCCAAGGATGCCTTTCGAGCCTGAGGCACAGCTGCAGGGAGGAGGTAACAAGAGGAATTTGAGCATGTTTGTTCTTCTGAAAAATTATGGACCAGAGCAGAGAGAAAGGGGTTATACCTGAAGGAACGAACGTTGGGGTGATCTGGGCGACGGAACTGGCATCCTTGGGAGGTTCTGAATGGTTTGGGATTGGATGAGATGCCGAGGTTTGTATAGGTTTTGCAGCAGCAGGCAACTCGATGTTACTGCAAGATCTTACTCCTGTATCAGGTCCCTTAGATTGTGCAACAGAAAGTGGATTTGAACGCCCAAGGAGTGGCAATCCTTGGAAACTTTCACTGGGGAATGATGCCTTCACTTGACCTGTGGAAAGCATATTGTTTCGTGTTTGGGACACCCCACCGGTGCCAGCCAAAAGCATAATAGCCTGAGCCTGAACAGAGACAACAATAAAACTGAGAATTGTTTCTTCCCCAAGTGGTGGGAAGGCAAAATAAATTTAAGAGTTTACAAAAGCACAGATACCTTCTCAGGAGATATATCATTATAAACACACACTGATCCCGCATAGAAGATCGTCAGCGGCGCCATCGGACCCGGAGGCTTCGAAGCATTCCTAGAAAGAAAAGTAAACATCAATTCTCAAGACAGTTTGGGTTTGACATCTTTCATAGGTCTGTTTCAAGAAACAACTACCTCAACTCGGTGGTTCCAACAACAGAGCTCGCAAAGGGAACAGAAATGGAGGTTCCAATTGGAATCCCACCAAATGGCTGTAAGTTACCACTGGAACCAACCACGGTCTGGCCAGATGAAACAATCTGGGATTGGAGTACTGGGACGTTGAAACCCACCGGAAGCGCATTGCTCCGATGTACCGAAAGCGCATCGGAATTCTGGAACGGGTAGACAGCCATTGCATATTGTTTTGCAGCCTTCTTCTCCAAGGCTACATTTTTCTACGCACAAGATAAAAGAAACAAGCCAAATCAGGCAATTCATAAACATAATAGAATCCAGCCCATCTCTCCTTCTTGTGTTCAACAGGGAAATGAAGTTTCAGAGCATCATGAACAAAGGGAAACCTGGATTGCAGCAGAATATGGGTCAACAACAGTTTTCCTCTGCTTCTCATCTTGAGAAGCCTTGAAAGAAACCAATTGGGGAACTGCAGAAACTTTGTTTGAGAATGACCACTGCATCCCTGAACCACCCATTAATGCTGCCACATCAAAACAAATCACAGATCACAAATCAATTACATTCCATAATCCATGGTTACAATTAAAATTCAATCACTGAGAAACAATTTTGGACATCAAACAAAAAAAAAATCTAAGAACTCCCAAAAAATTTGCATAAATAATTTACCGAAGTAAGATTAGAAAATTTCAAAAATATTAAAATATCCTTTTAGTTTTCACTAAGTCTTAAAAGACAAATAAAGTGTTTACCACGGGTTTGAATTATTTAATTGTTGAATTGAAGAGTGCAGTTGTACAGCTATAAAATGTGTAGAATTTATTTATTAATTAAATTATTAAATAAGCGCACTCAAGGTGCCACGTCACTATTATTTTAATACATAAATTAAAAGTTTAAAGTTAACACCTTCACGCGCAAGTCTAAATTAACGTGAAAAGGGAAAAAAATAACCCTAGGACGCGTTTCGCCTTCGACAATGAAAGAAGAAATTAGTTTCAAAACTTTTTGCATGAATTTTATTCATTAATTAAAATATATATTTTTTCAACAAAAAAAAGCACATTTCCAAAGTCTAATTGATTCGGGCTGGCTATTTTCAAAGGAAGCATTTAATTAGTATTTCATTAAAAATGCTACTTTAAAAAGACAATCAAATCTGCCATAAAAAACACTATTATCCGAGTTCACAATTTCTAAATATAAATTCCAGTTCGGATGCAGTACAGTAATAATAATATTCTAAAATATATTTTTTAAAAAAATAACCTTCCATAATATTTAATATTATTTAATTTTCCCCCGAAAACTTTCTGGCTGTCAGTTCTTTGGTACCTCGAATTTGCATTTTGGTACAGCGTGACAAACGTGGTTTTTACGCTTACTCGCAGAAATTTTCCCAATTTTTACTTACTGTTTTCGTTCAAACCAAAAATTGAAAATAAGAGATTTCATTTGTAGCGAAACAGAGACATTCAACAAACAAATTTCAAATAAATTCTAGAGTAACCTAAAAAAAAAAGCCGCCATGGAAAATCAAAGCAATGAAAGGAAAAAAAAACGAAATAGAGAAGAGGAATTAGTAGTAGTAGTAGAAGAAGAAGAAGAAGAAGAAGAAGAAGAAGAAGAAGAAGAAACATACCTGAATTTTTAGAAGCATCCGTAAATTGTTCTCTGAACGGCATCGCGACATTCTTCGAGTTCAAACCTAAAAAATCTCTCTCCATATCGAATTCTGAGACCTAACACCACAAAACTCTTCACCGAAATACACTTCCAGATTAATTTCTCGGAAAGAAAAAAATTATATACCTCCTCTCTTGAAGCGCGACAAATCGAGCCGTTTTCGAGCTCCTAAACCGTGAAAATTATTCTTCCTTCCGCAGGAACACACACAGAAAGAGACACACAGAGAGCGCGAGAGAGAGAATTTTCCTTTCTTTAATATTAATGCGAAAGCAGGCGAGCGAAGCACGTCTTTTTATTTAAACGTTCAAATAAAATACAAAGTATTTTAATATTATTACAAAAATAAATTAATTAGCCTCGTGGTCTCGTGAAATCAGGGCCGTTGGATGAGAAGTAGATTCGGGCCCTTGAGATGAGGACCGGGTGGTCGCTTTGTAAGAGGGTAATTTGGGCAAACGACCACGTGCGAGCCGTGCTACGCTACTCCACCGCCACGTGTCACTTGGTGGGATTTTGCAAACCCGTGAGCTCAAAACGTGGTTATTATTTTTCTTGTCATTTCTGGTTTTTTTTTTATTATTTTATTAGTTTTCATTTGTTTTTATATTCTCTTCCACTCACTATATATTACACAACAAAAACAAACCCCTCTTTCTTAAATCAATTAATTCAGTCACGTTAATATTTTAATATTCTCTACCTTTAAATTATCAATTTATATTATTTTATTCAAACTAAAATTGTACCGTACCAATTTTTAATTAAAGTATTATTTTATCGTCGTTGCAGGGGCTGCACTATTTTATGAAAAATCAAGGTGGGTTTCTGAAATTACCCAATGCATTTTTTAGTTACTTTGTAATTCTTTTTTTTTTTTGACATTTTTTTTATTTCATATTCTCAAATTATAAAACTTCAGATTTTCCATATTTATGGTGTTTGAGATTGCCTAATAAATCCAAGACATCTACAATTATGAAATAGTTTATGATTTGATGAGTTAACTTCATCATATTATTAATTGTTACATTACTGAGACCTACCAAATTGAGCTTCCCCGTTGTCTTTTATTCCTTACCATTTATGTTTAAAATAAATGTTCCAAACAGTGTTTATCTATAGGCACCTTAAAATAAAAATTACAAAAATAAAAAACTAATTAGATATTCACTTAAAATAACTTTTACAGCTTCCGTAAATTTTCTCCAATCATTTAATCAAGTTCTATTATATTTTAATTATAAGAAATGACTAGTTTAAAAAGTATCTCATAGTTTCTTTAAAGACTTTTTTTCAATATATTATTATTGGATGGGAAAATTAGAATCTAAATTTAAAAATAGATGGTGATTTATTGAAACATGGTTTAAATAGGACGAATAGTATTATATATGAATTTCAATGATTATTTTATTAGAAAATTGATTCAAATATAGTAATATCCTAAAGTTGATTATCAATGGTCAACTATTTGATGATTCAAGAGTTTGAAAAATTAACCAATTATAATGAAGTTCATAAATAGTCCTCTGTTCATTATTCAATGAGGTAATCTTAAAAAGAAAGAAACTAAAAGAGTGTTTTTTTTTTACAACTAAATTAAAAAAAAAAGTGTTTGAACTTTGAATTGGTCAAATTTTAAAATAATTTAAAATAATGTTAGTGACAGAAAAAAAAATCAAGAAACGGAAAAAGTGAAAACTAAAACTTCTAACTGTAATATGATTTTTTTTTTCTAATGGAAATGGAACTCTTTTTTTTTTTTCTTTTGATGAATGGAAACAAGTAATTTGAAACTTATTGAGTAAGAAAAATAATTAATTTTTTTCGAAAGTAGAAAAATAATTAATTTAGTGCTCCCTTTTTAATGAAAATTTATTGGCTTCGAAGGCGGCGCCAAAAGCGTCAGGTCACGGACGACGTCATCGATATTTTGTATTATAAGGCCACTGGAACTGCCAACTGCCAACCTTTTAATTATATGGAATCTTTATATTTTTATTTTACAGGTTATTTTTTTTCAAAAATTGTGATTTTTTATCTTCATTATTAAACTTTACCTAAATATCTGATTTAGTCAACTACAACTAAAATTTTGTATACAATTCAAACCATCATGTTTGTATTATAAATAATTAATCATATATAAATATTAATATTGGAGAATGTCACTTTTTTTGACCCCAGTTACCTTATTTTAATTATATGGAATCTTTATAAATATTAAACAACTAATTACTAATATTTCTATATATATAATCCCCATTTTAATCTTACACAGTTTTAATAAACAACATCAATTTTTTTATTTCAATTCATAAATAGTAAACAATATTAAAATAATAACCTTCTATTCCGATTGTTTTTTATTTTGATTTCTTATAAATAAGTGGGACCTTAGTTTAACAATTACAATAATATAATAGGAGATCGTATAGTCCATATTAGGATGGTAACAAAAATAAACATTTAATAACTATTTAGGTTTTTTATTTTTCATTTTCTTAGAAATAATTTTTAAATTATATATAAAGTTGGGAACGAACAAAAAAAAATATTTTTTTCTTGTTTCTATTTTTGTTTCCAATTTGTTCTAAAATAAATAAATAAACTTATCGTATTTATCATTATTAAATCCATGAATATTGAAACATGTAATTTTATTTCTATTTATTACAAACAAAGAAATATAAACTTGAAATAAAATTTTTTCTAAACAAATCCAAAACGATCTTTAGAGAAAGAATAAGATGTTTTAAGCTATGTTCACCAGACCATGTTATGGCCATAGTATTTGCAGATTTGGGTTAGAGGTTAATATTTAGCTGGTTGGGTAGGGTCGGGCACAGGTCGCGAGCGGGTTCGTTGTCACACCGGATCCTATTCATGGGCCATGTTAAATTTAATTTTATTATAGTTGTTTTTTTCGTGAAATAATAATTTCCGGTCAACATCAAAATTTTATAATGTTGTCGTAAAACATTTTTCAAATAGCATATTTGTTTGCTTTTTAGAAATTTAAGATTTATCTAATCCAACCTGGCGCTGGCTCAAAAAATCTGAGAAATTAAATCAATAATTGTATTAAAAAAATAATATCATTCTTTTAGTACTTTTTAAGTGTTTTATTATTGTTATTTTTTAACACTAGTTTTGATTATCTAAACTTAAATGAATTGGAAAATGTTTAATGCTTTTAATTTACTAGAAAACATTTTCACCCATCTAAAATTATTAAATAAAACTTATTCTAATTAAATTAATTTTATTCTCATAATTTTAATTTTATAAGATTGAATCCTATGCTAAAATGAACGGTGAGAATAACCCCTAAAATTATTTAGGTATGTATCATTTTAGAGATTTGTAATTTAGTTATGAGTATAT